TGAATCCCTGCGACAGCCAAGAGGATGAGGGGAACACAGGAGGGGCTGGTGGGGGAAATCACTCGTGATCAGGAGAGTCAGGGAGGGATAACTCAAAGGGTAAATGAAGCACCTGTTGTACAGCATAGAGAGGGTGTTGTGATGGGCGAGAGGATGAGTCCTAGGGATTATCCAGGGAGGGGAGCTGGGCAGGGCATGCCCGAAGGGGATGTTGCTCACTGGGGCCCGTGACGGTCCCGGGAGGACAGGGGTCCCGGGGGTGGGCACATGGCACCCTACAGGAGAAACGTCCACGGGCTCAGCCGCTCAGGGCACAGACTGGAGGAAGGGGCCGCCAGAGTGATGCACAGAAAGCGGGGGCGTACAGGGGAGGGTCAGCAGAGGGGCGCGGAGAGCGGGGATCACGTCACGCGGGGCGGAGGGGGGGTCCGTACTCACTGTATTGCTCCACCTGCAGCAGCGGCCGGAAGTAGATGGGGTAAAACGCCGCCCCCACCACGGCCACGAACCCGCCGAAGATGAGCAGCGTGCGGGAGATCCGCGCCATGGCCGGCACAGGACGAGGCGAAAACCCTGCGCGCTAGCGGCACCTGCGCTCCCTACCCGCTCATCTCCCAGTTTGCACACTTCCGCTTCCGGGGCAAGTGCAGGGGATCCCGGAAAGCCGCCTGGGTCACGTGGGTTCCCCGGCCTGGGCGCGAGCTAAGCCAGGCCCCCTCGCAGAGGCGCCCGCTTCCCCGCTGTTACAGCGCGGCTCGCCCAGAGCTCCCGGTTCTGCGTCCTAGAGCCGGGCGGCGAGCTCCGGGGGCGGGGCCTGCCACCTACGTCAGTGCTCCCCGAGGCGCGGGGTCACGGCAGCGACACGGCAAATCGCGCAGCAGGCTGATCACGAGTCTCCGAGGGCGCGGAGTGTGCCGGGCTTGGGCAAGCACGTGGTAGAATGGTGGGCCTGGTACAGAAGCCTCGCTGTGCGGACAGACAGACAGGAGCATAGGAAAGAGGGGTACACGAATGAGTCCTGAGGGGGTTGCGTTGTAGGCGGGGGAGGGGAGAGGTGTCACCTTTGTATAGCTTCTTACATCTGTAAAATAAAATGGATAGTACATTTATATCAGCCATAATCTCAGTACCCTTCATTTTCCACATTTTTAGTGTCCCCTCATGCCAAGTAACGGAGCAGCTTGTGATTTAAAACTCTTTGTTACATCCCATCCTGCCACGTTGTAATATACTCCTGGGGGAATTTTGTGTCCTGCGCATGTGCAGAATTCATGTCCCCTGCAGATTTCTATGCTTCCCTGCAGAAAAATGACTTCTGATGGGGAAGCAAAGGGAAGCTGCAAGAGCAGTTATGCACTTCTCCCTGGCAGCGTAAGCAGGTCGGTTCGGGCGCCTGGAGTAGCTAGTAGAGACATAAATCATGGGGAAGAGTGGCAGGTGTGTGAGAGAGACATTCTGTCCCTCTTGTTCACTATTGCAGCACACTTGGCATGGAGGGGCAGAGCTTTGGGGTGTTTCTGAGGAGTTAGGCATGGGGCAGGCTCTGTCCCCTCAGGCAGAGCAGAATGTAGCAGCCTGCCTTCTTAGTAAATTGTTCCTATTATCTTTGTGAATTTCCCCAGGAGTATAAAACAGGTGTCAAAGTTTTAAGGCTCCTTTACATTGCCAGAGTGGTGTAAAGGACAGTATGGCCTTATAAAAGCTTCCTATCAAAATGTGCTCCATGAACTGTTCGCCACTGACCACTCTGGAGATGGTCAGTAGCCAATATAAATTATGAGTTTGATTCCCCAGCCCTCTCTTGTTCCTCAGTTGCCTATGATTAAGGCTGGGAGTTTGTCACAGAGGTCATGGATTCCGTGACTTCTGCAGCAGTTGGTGAGCCTGGCCCTGGGGTTACCTGAGCAGCTCAGGCAGCCCCTGGGCAAGTCATACCAGCCGCTGCTGGGACAGTCTCGGGCCATGTTCTGCTTGTTTTTTACATTACAAATATCAATTAAGGCTGTCATGGTCAATCTTTTCTGGTTTTGCTGGAGGGCTCCTTCGGCATACCAGATTGTGGACCAAGAGATTTTTCAGTCTTTAATAGAAGGGGAGAGGATGTTGAATATTTAACAGACAGTTTTTTCTGCCCCAAGTATTTTGTTAGGTGTTAGAGTTGAATGTATTATCAAAAATAAAGATTTAAACAGGCAGAATAAGAGTCATTGCCCCTGTCAGTTAATCAGCTTTCACTTGCATGATAACTCTATCATCCATCTACAGTTTCTCCTGTTGTCCAGAGAGTCTTTCAGGATAAGCACATTGGACACAATCTGAATTTCCAGTGCAGCAGTTCTCAAACTGTGGGTCAGGACCCCAAAGTGGGTCACGACCCCATTTTAATGGGGTTGCCAGGGCTGGCTTAGACTTGCTTGGGCCCGGGGCCAGAGCCAAAGCCCAAGCCTCACCACCCGGGGCCAAAGCTGAAGCCTGAGCCCCACCACACAGGGCCAAAGTCTGAGGGCTTCAGCCCTGGGCAGCGGGGCCCAGGTTACAGGCTCCCTGCTGGGGCTGAAGCCCTTGGGCTTCGGCTTTGGCCTTCCCGCTCAGGGTGATGGGGATCAGGCTTTGGCTCAGGCTTCAGTCCTCCCTCCTGGGGTCGTGAAGTAATTTTTGTTGTCAGAAGGGGGTCGCGGTGCAATGAAATTTGAGAACCCCTGCTCTATGTAAAAAGCAGCCCTCCTCTCCCAATGCCCCTTTTTGAGGGGGGAAAAACAAACAAACCCTTTCAGGCTTTTGTTTTGCATCATTAAAAAGCAAAATAATGGTATAAGCTGAATTTTCAGTTTTGAATTTTTAAAGGGACAAGCATTTGTGGTATGCGAAGAAGGCATAGTTGTCATCCTATACATTGTGTCCTTCCCAACCAGATACAAATGTTTTCAAGGACAGAACTTGTATGTAGTAGCCTTTTGGTTAAGATCAAGTGCAATACTTCGGATGTTGGGAAGCAGTATTTGCCAAATCCTGCTAATGTTGAAGCCAGTGGGAATTTGCTTCGATGAGAGCAGGATAGGGGCCATATCCTGCAAAGCTAAAATTCAACAAAATGTAGAGGAACCATACATTGCCTTACAATACTACTTAAGGTCCCTTCAGTCTTGCATTAAGGGCTCCACATACCTACTGATTAGGACCAAGGCCTTAAACTGTAGTTTGGTTAGGGCAGGAAGCCCACAAGCCTGTAAAGTGCCATGCATTTCTATTGGTCTACATAAATGACAGATGACATTGAACTCTATTATCTAATACAGCTCTTAATTACAATGTGATAGAAACACATATTAAACAATCATTTTAACTCCATTATTAGAAAATGGCAATGGCAATTTAATTGACACTGTCCTGCCATATGTTTTGTTCAAGTTCAGGTTTGAAAGCATAAGTAAAAACAATAATATGCTTTATATGAGTTGTTCATGGCAGCTACTATGCCTTCCTATGTGTGTATGCCTAACATACTATATGCTCTAGCATAATGCAGATATATAATAATTAATAGTAATAAAATGTACCAATGACTTCAGCCCATGCAATGTCTTTTTTATTGTAATTTCTATGATTCTGTGATTATGGTTAATAACTAATAAAATGATCATGTGCACTTCTATAGAGATGTGACAAATGTTCTCAAAGCACTTTACTAGCATTAATTAATGAAGCCTTACAACTTATTCCAGTTTGACTGATGGGTTCCTGGGGCACAGCAAAGTTAAATGATATGCCAGACTTGACATGGGAAGTCTATAGAAGAATAAAATCCAGAAAACCTGAAGGCTGACATAGTAACATGGGAATTGCCAGACTGGATCAAGACCCCAGGTCCAGCTAATCCAGTATCTGACAGAGGCCAGCACCAGAGGCTTCAGAAGGAGGTGCAAGAACTCCCACAGCAACAGATTTGAAATAATCTGCCTCTCACATTAGTTTTCATGTCATCCTGGTCCCTAATAGTTAGCAATTGGTTTAAACACTGAAACATGCGGGTTTATCATTCTTCCATAATGTGTTAGCACAAAGTATTATAATGCTGGTTTCAGAGTAGCAGCCGTGTTAGTCTGTATCCGCAAAAATAACAGGAGTACTTGTGGCACCTTAGAGACTAACACATTTATTAGAGCACTCTTGTTGGCCAATGTCCATGTAAATGTATGATCCCTTCTGTCAGCCCACCTCCAAACTAAAAAGTGTATTTCCAGTTGCTTTCCCCTCCTCCCGACTCCCCCACCCCCGCAAAGAGTGGCAGTCTGGGGGATAAACAATACACACACTAAACACTGTACACAAGCCAGCGTCTAAGGCAGTGCTGGGGAGACCCAGCAGTACCCGCAGACTCAGAAAAATAACGTTAGAGAGGAGCAAAACCAGCGGATTGTCTACCTTGATCTAACACCCCGCCCCCCCAAAAAGTTATACCAAGGGGAAGGGCAAAGCGAGACTGGGGGTGGTGGTGGTGTCTGTCTGTGTCTGTCCCTGGGTAGCACGTGGGCCTGGCCCCCCAGCCCAGCGCGTCCTTTCCTGCTGCACCTGCTCGGGGAGGCTCCAGCCCCGCCCGAGCGGCTCCTCCTCCCGCCGCGGAGGCTGAGCTCCAGGAAGCAGGATCTACCTCGTCCCCGTGGCCGGATTCCCCAGGCGGCCGCGCGCTCAGGCTGCCCTGCCCTGGGCACCGACCCGCCGCAGCAAGTTCCGCTCTCGGCACCGACCTGCCGCGCGCCGTCACCAGCGGCATCCGCGACGCCCATGGGAGCAGCTGGCGCCTGAGCCGCATCGGAACCATGTGGTGCTCAGCGGAGCCCCGGCCCGTGCCCCACGGGGCCCTCCTCCTGCTCTGGCTGCTGGTGAGCCCGCCTCCCCCCACTCCCCGGACACCGGCCGCCACCCCGTGGCCGGGACCTGCGGCCGGGAGCGCCCTGGGCTGGGCTGTCAGCTCCTTTGTCCCGCAGCACGCACATCCTCCGCTGCCAGCCCCGGAGGCTGTGCGGGACCCCGCTGTGCTCTGCAGTATGCCCCGTTCCTCCCAGCACACCCCTCGGTGTACCCCCCAGCACACTCCCTACACGCCTCTCCATCCACCC